GTAAGATCTGAGGGCATGGCTGGAGCGCCCTGTGAAAGTGCCTCTGAAGTCAAATTCTGTGGTAAGAAAATTTATGGGGACTTTGAAAAAAAGCAACAAAAACTTTGAAATATCACTTTCATGAGCGTGCGAGTACAAACCAATACACTAACAGAGCACACGTAAAGCACGCCTGCTGTGGTATCCCACATCCCACTCATGCCCCACTACACACACAGTTTCGTAGTTAAATGCTCTGGAAGCTCAACCCACCATCCTGATATGCCAGCAGACCATGGAAGCCCAGTGAGCAGCAGGCTGCCCACTCCACTGCACCTGCTGCAAAAACACAGTGACAGAAAGCTACAGTCATATAATGCACATTATATTAATTCCTCATGTAAACAAGTGTTCTTGCTGCTAATCATCACTTAATCATGATCAAAGGAAAGATGGTCTGCAAGATAATCTCTGAATTTCCTGCTTAAGGGAGGCAAAACTTCACAGCCTCCTAATGAAAACCCTCCTGCTCAGAGGACTCTAAGAAGTACAAGTAATAACACTTTTTCTTTTTAGCAGACAAGAAAAAAGTTATTTTTAAACATATAACTCTATTTTGGAGAAAAAAAGTCTATCTGCTGCAGCTGCACTGCAACAACCTTCTTCAGCAAATTAGAAAAAAGCTTTAAGGTTTAAGATGTGTGTGGATGCATACTGACACATCACTCCGCTGCACAGCCACACGGGCTCTGGCAGCTACCTCGTGCCTGAAGTAGAACCTGTTCTGCTCTGCACCTCACCCTCAGGTGCTGTGTCTGCTGTGTCCCCCAGCCAGGGGCAGCCCTCACACCGCAGAGCAGCACCGCAGAGACACGGCTGAGCTGGGGCCACCAAGCACTGCACGCTGGGACGCTGGCACCAGAGCACACATCTCTTCTGTGTTTGTCGCTACCACCTACAGACTGCATGAACAGCAAGCTACATCTCCCAAGCTATATTTCTGCTTTCCTAAAGTGGGGTCATAAGGAGTTTCATGATACTGCTGCACATCTGGAAAAACCTTTTTTTGTGGCGAGGCTCAGCATGGACATTACCCTGCAGTTCCATCACACCCTCAGCTGCTTCAGCCTCTGGGCGATACCTACAGGTCCACCCACAGCCAGGGGAGCCCAGCAGAGCAAGGGGCAGCAAGGCAGTCCCAAAGCAAGGCAGCTGTGGGCAGTGAGCCGGGAGCCATGCACACACAGAGTGCTGCTCAGCACGCGGCACACAGGGCCACCTCCAGCTTCATTCCAGCACGCACCTGGGCAACAGCTGCAGCCACGGGCAGCGAGCCTCCCACAGCTTCATTCTCAAGGTACAGTGGATCCCTCTGTTATTAAAAACAATTAAAATAAAAATGCATGGGCACTGTAAAGGGTAACAAAAACTGCTTTCTCCTCCCCATCACCATCACCCGCATCTCCACCTAGCTCAGGAAACTTTTAGTAGCACCAAGTTCTGATCTACCTCAAAAGTTTCACTCTCTGCAAAGGCATTTGGAATTCAGTAAGACAAAGACTCCCAAAGCACTGCAAGCATAAGAGCAGCTGAAACTAAAAAAAAAAAAAAAAAATATTTATCTAAGTTTCTGTCATAAAAAGGCAAACAAACTGAAGATGACAACGGTGGTAAACTGATAGTAATAAAACCAACAATCACAATGAAGCACGTGTGGTCTTCTACTCAATCTCAGAGCTGTGACTTGAAGAGAAGAAGGTGCCTTAACTTGCAGTGTGATACCTGCTTGGAAATCCAAACCTAAATAATACATTTTCCATCCTAACAAATTTGAAATATTCTGCAAAATTCAGAAAACTCTTCCTGGAGGGACAATCAAAACAAAAGATAACACAAATTACAACAAGAAAACAACAAAACCACCATCTTTATCACTTAATACCAGTTACATCCACAGATACCTAATACCATAACAGAACCACACCCCCGTTTCACAATCAGCAAGCTAAGTTCAGATACGATAAGGACAGACCTTCACGTTGGGATCAATGCCCATTAGAAGAGTAGGCTGCTTTCAGAAATGATCGGAGAAAGTATTTCTATGTCAAATTCAACCAGCAGATTCCTAGTCCTAACAGCAGCAAAGGCTATTCTGGGTTCATACTCAGGATCAGAGCAGTCGGTGCACTCCTAAGACAACCACACTCCATAGGGCTGGGGCAGGAAGCCCCCCCACAGCACAGCCTGAACTCATTGGGGTGCAGGAGCCACCCGCCCCAGGCAGGAAGGGCAGCACTCTGCACAGCCAGGGAGCAGCAGAGATCGCAGCGCTCCCAGCTGTGTGGGTCACCAAGTGCCCTGCGCTGGAACACAGGGACTCACCACGACCACTTGGTCTCGCTCCCGGCGAGGCAACCTGGGTTAATCCAGGGTATCAGATGAAGACTTCAGTCAGCCCGCTGCCAGCAAACAGCAATTCCCCAAGCTACTTTCCCCTCCTTTTGAATTTAAGGAACAAAACCACATGACCTGCTGGCCTGGAGCTTTTACCTCTCCTTCTCATTGTGGCACTTCTGGCCTAAGATGGTCCTGGGGACCCCATTACTGCATCGTTCCTCCTGGAGGACAGCTGCATACAAGAAGCAAGGCTACATGTTCAGAAGCCTGCCTGACACAGGCTCGTAGACTTCAGCCTGAATGCAGTGCTTTCCAGCCCAAGCAGAAATTGCGGAGCTTGTATGGCTAAGCCTGCTGGATTATTTGAAACCTTTACCATAGAAACCTACGCTCAAAGGTTTAAAATAACTTGGATTAATGAAGTCACGTAAACCTGTACTACCACACTACCAAAGCGCACCTACTCCATCAGCCCCTGCTGCCAGGTGCTCCTGCCTGTTTGGTGGCCTCACCTCGCTCAGTGGAGCAAACCGTGCTTCTGAGACAACAGAAATCAAACTCTGAAGATCATCATCTGCCTCCACCCAACAGAAACAACCAAACCTTTATTACATCAGAACATACAGTCACAAGTGTGCCAATAACTAAATACGATCATTAAACAAGCAGTAAGGAGAGTTCCTCCAGCACGTGCAGCCCCATAGACGGCTGGGCACATCTGCACGGCGCAGTGGGCAGATCAACCTGAACTCAGTTCCTGCCCCAATCAGGGAGAGCAGAAACAGAAGATAAAGGAGCTAATAGCAACACACAAAGTAACATCCCATACAATTTGGTGCCAGACAGGTTTGTTCTGTGGCCACCAGATTCATGGAAGGGTCAGTGTGACATCTGAGCAGCACAGATGGAGGAAGGAAGGAGAGAAGGAAAAAAAGAAAAACATAAAGAAAAAATATAGAAGAGGAGAGAGGAAAGAAGCAGCAGCAACCCACAGGTAACCTGAACTCATCACCTGCTCCCAGCAGCAGTATTTGTGCTAACAAGCAGGAAGCATCCTACAACAGGACAAGCAGTGACTGCTCGAGCACAGCTGACAGACACAGCAAGTCCCATACACATTCATAGCAGGGACACACACAGCTCTGAAGAACACCACAGAACCAAGAAATGCTGTGTTAATGCTTTCAACAGGGGAATAGCAGTGCTTCTCACTGCTTGCAGCTATCCTAGGGCTGCACTGCTCCAGGATGCACACAGCACAAGACAAAAATCCCTGGGCCCTGCAAGTGTGTGGCCAGGCGTGCAAGACAGCACTCACCCCAGGCAGCCAGTCTGCCAGGAGAAAGTTGTTCTGCTATCAAATGCCATTCCCAACTGAGGGGCATCTGCACAAAACACATCCCAAGTGTGAAGCATGCAGCAGCACGCAGCCCACTTCAGACCAACCGGAGGGCCCTGCAACGGGAAGGGGCTGTCAGGAGAAAGGGAGGGGGGAAATGGGGACAGGACTACCCAGGGGCTCCTGGACCCACACCAAGCATAGAGGCACAGCGTAGGGCAGATTCTGATGCACTGCGCAACGTCAGTACTGACTGAGGGGAGCTGGAACAGGGAAACGGACCAAGGAATCCCAAGGTGGCTCTACAGCCCCATAGAGGTGGGGACAACAGGGCACCAGTCCCTGCCCGCAGCTGAAGTCCCTCTGGGCTGCAGAGTGGCTGCATGCTCCCACCTCACAAAGAGGTGCCCCATATCCCCACCGCACAAGGAAGACCCCAGCAGAACAGGTGGGTGCAGCTCAGCCCAGAGCTCTGCTCCAGGCCGGCCCATTGTGTCCCGGCTCCCAGCTGCGGGATCTGCCAGGAGTGCCAGCAACACACCGGGACCCCCAGGCCAGAAGCTGCCCCCTACTGCCGTACCCGCCCCACGGCCCTTCGGGGGGACAGAAGCACAGCCGCCGTGGTTGAGAGCAGCAGCAGCACGCCGCACCGCCTGCGGAGCCCCAGCCTCCAATAAAGGACAGCCCGGAACCGGCTGTGCCACACCGTGAGATTTAATGACAGCGTTGCGGCCCCATGTCAGTCCTTGACCAGGCAACAGCACCGTGCTGCCAGGATGCGGCCTCGGGGCCATCGCAAGCACGAAGCAAATGTTTTGGGTGCCCGTTAGCCGGGAACCGACGCGTGCCGGAGACACAACTGCGGGCGCAGTTTGACGAAGCTCGGCGCGCTCCGGGTCGCCCTCGGAGCCGTACAGCGGAACACGGCGGGCGCTGCAGGGCCCCACCGCGCCCCGCTGCGTCCCCCCGCGCCCCAGGCACCGGCAGGTCGGGCAGCCCGGACGCCGCCCCCGCCAGCCCCAAACACCGCCCTCACCGCGCAGCCCTACGGCACGGCGCTCCTCGCCGCCGGCCGCCCGCACCCTCGGCGCGTCGCAAACACCTCATTCGCGGCTGCAGGGACCGCTCCCAGCGCCGTCCGAGCACCGCACCAACGGCGCCCGCGTCCCGGCCCCGGAGCGGCACCGACCCCGCACCGCCCCCGCCCGCCGCGAGCCTCGCTCCGCCCGCACGCCCGTGCCGGGCCGCCGCCGCGCCGCGGGGAGCGGAACCCCCCGGTACTTACGTCGTCGAAGAGGGACCCGACGTTGGCCGTCACCAGCAGCACCCCGGCGCCGGCCGCGGCCCCCTTCGCCGCCATGGCGCCGGGCGGGCGGGCGGAAGCGCGGAACGGCGCTGCGGGGAGCCCGGGGGCGGGCGCGGGGCGCTGCGGGGCGCGGGCGGCGGGGGGAGCCGCGGGCAGCCCGCGGACAT